AGCTGGGTATTAGCCTTGATAATTCCCTACATTGTTTTTCCATGTCTGTTAACATTATGTAGTATTTATTAAACGAAAACTTCCAAAAATACTCAAAAAATACTTGTGAAGGAACATATTTTTTGTGGAAGTTTAACACCATAGTACTGCTTGTTTATGTTTTTCTTTTTTTCGGAACATATTTTGTTTGAGTACTTTTTTCATGTATACAGTGCTCAAAATTTTCACTTCTCTTCCTTCCATGCCCTCTTTGTTAAAGTATGAGTAGTTTACATATTTGAAAAAAACTTCACAGTGAAGCAAACTGAATTCCGATGCAGACCTTTATTATTTATACATATTTAAAAAAAAAATCGCTGAAAAACTAGCGATTTTCGACGAGTTACATAGCACTTGTTTCTTCATATCTCTATCAGTAGCTTTAGTAACAGCGTGAACATTTCCATCACGTTTGCCGACCCTCGGCCATTGCAAACGCTTGGAGCAACGTAGGTCGCAGTTGCACCAAGATTTTTTTTATTTTAAAAGAAAATATGAGAATAACACCGTCAATTAGTACAATATTGATAAGTTTTATTATGCAAATTCGGTGCTGTATACAAATGATTTTGGCTTACAACATTACCTTGATTAATACGCAGGGGTGATGGCTGGATCGCTTCCGGTGTCCTTGATCGATCGAAAGAAGTGACCGAGCTAATTCTTGAGAAGTTAAGTTTGACCTCCAAGCAAAAAACTGTTTGGAGGGGAAACTTAACGAAGTTTTATATTTAAGCGGTAAACTAGTATACTAACATGCTAACGGCTTAGCATTAATCAGGTTATTTATGTATGTGTTCATCCGTTGCACATTTAAAGCAGTTTTACATTAGGGTGGTTCACCCTTTTAAATGTTTGGTTTAGCATGGAGGCCTAAACAGCCATTCTTCGAAAAATTCTAATTTTTTAATATAGTGAATATGCTCTTAAACAAGAAACAAAAACAAATAGTTGTACTCTAATGTGCTGAATAAAATGCACATTTTTATAAACGAAAATGATGCTGCTAAGATATATTCAAAATCTAGGCCGGTGACATGAGGTGACATGTCCATTTTTTCAAACCTATTTTCACAATATCAGAAATAGTCCAGAGCTTATTTTAGTCGAGTAGATGTAATAAATAACACCAGAAATATGATCCATTATTAAGAATTTACACCAAATCACACACTTCCACAATGAGGGGTTTTTCTAAAGATTTAGAAAGTCAAAAAAAAAATATTTTTTAGTTTCAGTAAGAATTTATATTGATTTCTATTATTAATTGTATTATATATTATATTGAATGTAGGACATAAAAAACTGTTCAGTTAGAGCTTTGTGGATATTCTCCATGTTAATAGTTAAGTTACCCTTTTCTAGAAATCCTTTAATCCATCTAGCATGCTCCGCACGACACACTTTACGCAAAAAATAATAAAAAATTACCAAAAAGTAGCGATAAGTCCTAGCTA